GGGTCTCTTTTGACCCTGTTCTGCGGGTCTCTGTTCTATTCTACGGGTCTGTTCTGACCCTTTACAACGGGTCTCTTTTGACCCTGTTCTGCGGGTCTATTCTATTCTACGGGTCTGTTTTGACCCTTTTCTACGGGTCTGTTTTGACCCTGTTCTTTAAACTCGAGGAAAATGGAGAGTATGTCTCCATGCAAGGAGATTATAGCTGCAATGGAGGCTACAGGAAGAAGAGATAGGTATAGTGACAGCAGCACAAGTTTGGAAGATGATTCATCTGCTCCAGCATGAATTCAAATATAATATGTAAACATAAAATCAAAATAGATGAAAGAAAAGGTACTACCAATTTTGTTATAGTATCAGGTTTACTTAAAAATAAAGTATAAAATAAAAATAGGGGAAACCGTATAGTAAAATATATAAAATAAAGTACGAATAAAATGAAAATAAGAAAGACTAGAAGAAATAGGAAAGACTAGAAGAAATATTGAAATAAAATAAAGTAAGGTAAAATAAACTAGACTAGACTGTAGAGTAATGTTTTAGCTTATCCCGTATCTTTGGTGTCATAGCCCATATCTTTAGTGACAAGTACATGTAAATGTAGAAAAACCCCTAAGCTGTAGGGTATAACTGTAAAAATATGGAGTGTAGAGTATATGCTATTATTATATTATATAATATTTTATTAGTGAGAAAGACGAAAGCGTTTCCATATCAGTAAACTGTATAACGGTAAAGAATCCTGGCCTGAATCATAATGAGAGAAAATAACTAAAATAACTGTGACTTGTATTGTATCGTAGTCTATTTGTTACATTTATATACGGCCGATTGCAGATACTATTACTACTACTACTACTATCTTTTCCCTGTTACATCCTGTTGTGTGATTTTACTGTTTTACTATTATTTTATCCCTTAATTTCGATTTAATTATGTTACTTCATTACCTGATTTACAAAATCTGATGTTACCTGATATCCAAAAGTGACTATTTTAGATAAGATATCAGGAAGTAGTTAGTTAGTCTCGGGTCTATTTTGACCCTATTCTATGGGTCTATTTCGACCCTGTTCTAGGGGTCTGTTTTGACCCTGTTCTGCGGGTCTATTCTATTCTACGGGTCTGTTTTGACCCTGTTCTAAGGGTCTGTTTTGACCCTGTTGTGCGGGTCTATTCTATTCTACGGGTCTGTTTTGACCCTTTTCTACGGGTCTCTTTTGACCCTGTTCTGCGGGTCCATTCTATTCTACGGGTCTGTTTTGACCCTTTTCTACGGGTCTCTTTTGACCCTGTTCTGCGGGTCCATTCTATTCTACGGGTCTGTTTTGACCCTGTTCTACGGGTCTATTCTATTCTACGGGTCTGTTTTGACCCTGTTCTAAGGGTCTGTTTTGACCCTGTTCTGCGGGTCTATTCTATTCTACGGGTCTGTTTTGACCCTTTTCTACGGGTCTCTTTTGACCCTGTTCTGCGGGTCTATTCTATTCTACGGGTCTGTTTTGACCCTGTTCTAAGGGTCTATTTCGACCCTGTTCTAGGGGGGTATATACCTCTTCCTACCATGACCGGTCGAATGATTTCTAATCGGCTAATTTTTGCATTATATCGTATAATATGCAGTCGTATTATCAGTAGGAATTGCTGAAACTAGACGAAATAAGAAAGACTAGAGGAAATATAAAATAAAATAAGATAAACTAAACTAGACTAGACTGTAGAGTAACGTTTAGCTTATCACGTAAAATAAAATAGAAATGAAATCGATATACAATAGAATAGAAAAGAAAGTAGAAACGGTCCTCCACGGTAGAAAAGCAACCATAATATTGAAAGTCACGTATATAAAATATAAAATATAATATGTAAACATAAAATCAAAATAGATGAAAGAGAAGGTACTACCAATTTTGTTATAGTATCATATCTACTTAAAATACAGTGTAACATAAAGATAAAAGGAATAAGGGTAGAGCTCTAACTGTATAGTAAAATATATAAAATAAAATAAAGTACGAATAAAATGAAAATAAGAAAGACTAGAAGAAATAGGAAAGACTAGAAGAAATATTGAAATAAAATAAAGTAAGATAAAATAAACTAGACTAGACAGTGAGAAAGACGAAAGCGTTTCCATATCAGTAAACTGTATAACGGTAAAGAATCCTGGCCTGAATCATAATGAGAGAAAATAACTAAAATAACTGTGACTTGTATTGTATCGTAGTCTATTTGTTACATTTATATACGGCCGATTGCACATACTATTACTACTACTACTACTATCTTTTCCCTGTTACATCCTGTTGTGTGATTTTACTGTTTTACTATTATTTTATCCCTTAATTTCGATTTAATTATGTTACTTCATTACCTAATTTACTTTATATCTGTCAGAATTTAAGCTAGGAAATCCAGACTTATGCAGGGAAAGAAACTACCCGTATATACTATGAACATTTGTAAGAAAGAAGAAAGAAGAAAAGAAAGTCCGTTCTTAGAAGGTTTTCATGGGGAGCCATATTTTGGAGAAAAACAGGGCAGTAACAGGTACTTAGGTTGTGTAGTGTGATTATTAATTATATAATTTATGAATAAACTAAAATAAAATAAGTAAAGTAAAATAAAATATAAAGCATGTCATACAGATACCGACCAAGGACAAGAGGGAATATGCAAAGTGATTGGTACTTGATAAATGAAATAAATAAAGTAGAATAAAACTGAAGTGAAATATTATTATATTATTATCATTATCTGTCTGCAGGGTGAGTACAGACAATGTCCGGGTTAAAACAGACCTTCGCGTCACAGATGTGATATTACGAAATTAATAATTCTACATTTCGGAGATCTCGAGTGTCGTATGCTTAATTTAAGATCGTAGTTGTAGATCATTCTAGCGACCTACACTTCCATGATTGCTGCCGCGAGCCACTCGTATAACTTATGCACTCTTATCGATATATTATTAACGAACATCGAGATATCTCGAGACGAGAAGCGACGTCATAGAGCGTGACACTGAAAATGCTTCTTACGAACTACCATAAGTAAGCACTTTTATATTTTACGGTCAAAAAACCAGGAATAAGAAATCAGGAAGTAGTTATTTAGTCTCCGGTCTATATTGACCCTGTTCTACGGGTCTATTTTGACCCTAAGGGTCTATTTCGACCCTGCTCTGAGGGTCTATTTCGACCCTGCTCTAGGGGTCTATTTCGACCCTGCTCTAAGGGTCTATTTTGACCCGGTTCTAGGGGTCTATTTTGACCCGGTTCTGCGGGTCTATTTCGACCCTATGGGTCTATTTTGACCCGGTTGTAAGGGTCTATTTCGATCCTGTTCTAGGGGTCTATTTCGACCCTGCTCTACGGATCTATTTCGACCCTGCTCTACTGGTCTATTTTGACCCGGTTCTATGGGTCTATTTTGACCCTGTTCTAGGGGTCTATTTCGACCCGGTTCTACAGAGTACTCGATTGTTGCATTAATAAATAAATTAAAATTAGTTTTCGATCAAAATTAATAGGGGCGCCGTCTAGAGTGCAAAGGGGTGAATTGTTTCTCGACAAACTTGGGCGTTTTGTGGTAGATGTCGTCTTGACACATGTAAATAGATAAAACAGTGAACTACGTAGTTTTTATATTAATAATAATAAGCTTTAGACACTGTTTATTAATTAAACTGACGCACATACAGTCTCCAGTTAATGTGTATTATGTTATTATGTATTATGTTATATTCTTATGATATTAAAAACTATGAAAATTACAATATTCCTACCTTCCTGATTAAACTGATATGTTCTTCTCTTAATTTTCCATATACATCTTTCAATTTCTGAAATTTCTCTTCCAAAACTTTATACTTTTCTACAAAAACATAACAGAGAAGTTATATTAGATTGCGATATAAATGTACACGTATGTATGCACCAACCTTCGCTTTCATGTCTGCTTTTTGTTTAAGAGAGTCCGTCCTGATTTACCTGTTTTTCTTCTTCAATTTCATTGCGGTAAAAAATAAAAACAACTTGTTACATAGACTGTTTTTGTAAACCATAATGTTAATGATTAATTAAAACGTTTTTACCTTAATAAGCAAACCCGATTCAAGTTGCATGACACGACTCTGAAGCTCTTCCGTGATTCGTTGATGATCGATCGGTAGACGATGCGATACTTGTCTCTGGCGACTATTTTCTTGCTGTAAATGATCGATGAGACATTCTCTAAAATACATATGTTCGGAACAATTAATTATCTTCTATCGCGTAAGAGTAATAAGCGATCATTTTTCTAATTAGTATTAACATTTTCTATTCGCACTTTATTTAAGTTTACCTTTCCGCTGATGCATCGGGAGAGATTGAACCGTTTCGCGTAGAATCTAATTGATCGCCTGGTAATGAACTCGTATCCGAAGTATCGATGAGACTATCCGCAACCGTATCAGTATCTAAAGATTCTTCTGGTGGCGATACCACCCTCAAAAAGAAATTTAACAGCTTTTATGAGCATTTTATGGTAGAAACCATTCCTTCGTATCCTACGTATGCTAATCCTACCAGATACTATAGCATCAGGATGAACGTTCAAGAGATTATCATTGTTTTAAGAAATCACTAAATTCTGTTTAAAACAAAACGACGATCTCGACAGTTTTCTCATAAAATCTTAAATATTACAATTTACGTAAAAAATCTTTCTATTTAACTAATATAAATTTGTTATTTCGTAAACGCAATTAATGTTAATATATTCTAGCTACTATTTTTGACTAAATATTTCTTTTTACACGCTTGACGACATGGTTAATAACATTCTTCGATATTATTGTCCTCTTACTTTTCCATCCGTCCAACAAAAAAATAACAAAAAAATCGTAGGTAAACGCTTTGTTTCAGGTTTCTAAATGAGGTGTCCGCTAATAAAATGTTGGAATACCCAACAGACCCCTTAACTAATAGCTACTATTATTATTATTACATAATAAAATAAAAGTTTAGTGTTTTTGATGTTACCATGAGGAACGAGAAATTTGCTCGCGCATTATTTTATTGATTTCGGTGGTACATTAAATCCGAAGGAATGTTTTAACTATATTCTTTCTATTATACATTGAAATCAAAATATCGTTCAAACGTAAGTTTTGCGTTTATTTGTCCATAAGTAAATGCAGTACTTTATTGATAACCCCGTCTTCGGATTCTAATAAATCAGCGATATATTCAAGGTTACTTGTAAATCCCATCTCGATCATAGTTGCAAGAGCGCTTTGAATTTTTGGGTTACGATGATATCTTTCGTTGATAATTTCGCTGACAAGCTTTTCCGATACTTGAGGATTAATCATCTGGTTTGATGGATTATCTTTCGATGGTGACGATGCCACTGATGCAAGTGCAGAAACCTAATAAAAAATATATAATTTGAAACTTATTTTATTATATATATATAAATTTATATCTTACTTCTTTTTCAAAATTATTATTTAAACTGGATGAAACTGAGGAGGATACGGATCCAGAGTCCAAAGTATCATTTTTCTCTATGACTGTCCATTCTTCTGTTTCTTCAGTTTTTTTAACAGTTGTATCTAGACTGGAAACAACTGATGTAATATCGTTTGGCAAAAGTTTCTCCACTGCATCGACGGTGCGTTCTATTTCTTCTTCCGGTAATTTTGCACTTTTGTCGGCTGTCACATTTTCTTTGTCTTTCTCTTTTTTTTCAGTTTCGCAAGTATTTAAAATGTTGGAGAGAAACGAATCGATGACACAGCCAAGTGGAGCTGACGATCGGGTACTGTCTACTTTACCGTCTTTCTGTTTTGGTGGTCTTTGGCAACAGCCGACGTTGTCCACTTGTAGATTCATGTTACCGAACTTTAATAAGAGTTGTTGGATGAAAGGAAATTTTCTTGTTTCTTGAAGGAAACATTGATAAATTGACAATTGCATCTGCTGCGGGAAACGAATCATACAATGATTTGCATGTAACTTTAATGCTTCGCATTGTGAACATAAATCGTAATCTATGCATTCGATACACGAGTAACGAAATCCTTTGATAGGATTGTCGCAACCATCGCATATAGCGCCACAATAAAGTATTTCCTCTTTGTTGTTACAAGTTGGTTTCTCTTGATTTTCCGGGCATAAACTTACATATAGTTTGCAATCTTCAAACATGGATTTTATAGCAATTTTTAATTCATGATTGCTTCTTATTACGATTTTATCCTGATCTTTGTCTATACATATAATTGACATATATTAAATTATTGATTACATTGCACGGAAGTGACATTTCTTAGTAAAATAATTATTGTATATAAAAACATACCTAGCCACGAGATTGTGAAATCTTCGTCACGAAGTTCGGGAAAAAAATATCTTATTACCTCACAAACATATTGAAAATCTACTACGTCCACCTTGCTATCAAATCTTCGAATCTCTTTTACAGTATTATCGTTATTTGTTAAATAAAATTTAAAGCTTAATCGTCCCGTAATTGTAGACGTCATGTTCGCACTTTAATAACAAAATGTACCTAATGCAGAAATTGATATATGATATATTGAATTATATTTCTGCAACCGATAAACGTAAAAATATATAAAAAATATTATTATCGACGACTCACAACTTCTTCCACCAGATTCTGATTTCCGTATGTTCTGTTGATTCTCTTACCTACGTACGACGTAAGTAGTAAGTACTTACGACGCTTTTGCTTTTATACTGTTTTGCCTAGTTAATACAAAATGGCGTTTCTGGCATGTAATATGCTTTCAGATTGAAACTTTCAGTGGGATTTCTGTCGACATCTTTTTGGTTACGTTCTTCTTGCTTACATCGATCGTCTATTGTTGAAGAAGGGACGTTACTTAGTTACTAGTTACTATACGCAATACGCGTAAAAGTTCCATTTCGCATAAACCTGCTGATCGGCGCCATTTTTGAATGAAATGCGAAATTTGACAGATGCTTACGTGGCTGTTTGCGTAGAAATGATGATTCACGATACACGTCGCTAATTTAAATTTCTCATCCGTATACAGGGTGTGCCAGAGAAAATCTGATTTCAGCCAACCCGCAATTTTTGTTAATCTTGCCATTCGGAGGAAACGTCTCGTTCAGTCGCGCAACCAACATGATGCGACGTTTCCTCTCTTTGCTACTTCTTACCGGTAATAGAAACTACATATACATACATATGTATACATATGTATACATACATACACTTTTCTTGACAACCCTGTCCGTAGATCGTTGCATCGTACCGTTATTATCGATACCTATTTCTTTAACGTTCTTTTCTTTGTCGGGTTTAAATTGATTGTCGATGATAATTTTCAACCAAGTATAATAAACCAACTACTTGAGAAAATGTACGGTAATATTAATCATTGTGTAAGATATTATGGTCGTTACGCCACGAAACAGCAATTGTATGACTCTTCTCGTATCAGCAATTGTTCGACGAAAAAAGGAAAGTAAAAACCTAGTTAATCGTTCCTGGATGTAATTTTCTAATGGAACGTAGATCGATGCGATCGTTCGCATCAAGTTATTGCAAATTCAAATGAATTTTCTCTTTCATTGATGTTTCAGACTCGAATGCACCGGTTCGGTTAACCAACGAGATTCTTAAACGAACTCGTTTTATTACTACATATTATGAAATTGTTTAATATTTATCGTATGCAGTGTCTCCTGATCCGTGTTTACTTAGAAATCCAGACACCTTTGATCGAAAGGTTTCTCTCTCTCTCTCTCTCTCTCTCTCTCTCTGTTACTGCGTACGAGGAGTAATTTTACCCATTTTCGTCGATCAATTAGAAACGGCTAAATGTAGTTTCATTAGATAATTAAGCCGCCAGATATCTCGTATCGTTTTTTACTTGCATTTTATATGTTATCGGTCGTACCGTACGACTAGGATTGTGTCCAATACATATGTATGTACTTACATAGTTGGGGAATAAGAAATTTGCATTATCTCCGAGTTTGATGATGTTTGCACGAACGCGGTTTGCGCTTTGAATATTTTATGTTCGTCCCTGCACATGCTCGACTTATCCATCGTAAACGTGACTACTACTTCTGGTTAGGGGAACGCAGTCGTTTATTAGGTTTCATGGGACGAGGCGGTAACCGTGGTGGTAATCGTAACGATTCGAAAAGAAAAAGAGAAATCCGCTATTCTAATAAGATGGGATTTGCCACGTATGTACTACTTGATCTATCTGTTTTAGGTCGGTATCTGTTTCACAGCAGGGGCGAATCTATGTACCAACGGGGCGTTGTTCTTTTCGTTGATAAAACGAATTCGCAACTATTATTCATCTTCCGCTGTGGTTTTCGCGCAATCGAGCAACGGACTAAAAGATGTTGACGGTACGAATTTAAAATAGGTTTTCGACATGTTTTATCAATCATTAACACGGGTAATAAGCATCGTGTAAAAGCTGTTGGATTTTCCACATCTCGTCTTTTGATTAAATTTTTTCTATTCTTTAGTGTTGATGATGAGGCATTTCACGCACACGTTGTGTCGTATATGCTTGAACGAGAGAACATTGCCACCCTTAGCGTGACATTCGAAAATATGGTCGCGCTATAAAAATTGTACGATAACATCGTTCGACCGTTGATCGTCGTCCTTCTACCGAGCCCGATGGCGTATTACGAATTTTCAAAAGTCACAAAGTCCTTCAAAATGTCATTTTCCGCATGGTTCGTCATGTTTCTGATTACGCCTGCTGGGAATGCGACGCACAACAACTATTGCTACAACCGGCTGGGAAATCCGTTTCATCTGTCGTTTAACAGCGAAACGTTGACGATATGCCCTTACGATTTCGTACTACGCGAATGGTACTCCGTGAATGGTAAGAATACGGAAACGTTCCAACTGGCCGAATGGCGCTACGACGGAGTCGATTCGATGGAGTCGGTTGACAAAATCGACCTGCTTACGAATTTCAGCCTCTACGAAAGAAGAAATATGTAACATGAAAGGGGCACGGTTCTACGCGGAATCACCGTTCAGGCAAGAGTCGTCGCGTACTTACTCGTCGATATAGAGTAAGATAAGAGTAATAGAATATAAACTTTGTCTATGTATTATACATAGAGCTCGATGCTGCTTACGGTTAAGGACAATAAAGTGCACGGATATCATCTCGGTAAAGTGATCAGCGAGCTCGAGAACGCTCTGAACTTCACTATCGAAATTGTAGCCGATGTTAGCGGATACGGAAGCTTTAATACAACGTCGAAACGTTGGAGCGGGGCGATGTGGAAGGTAATTTCGGGACAAGCAGACATCGGTGTGTCGGATTTCTCGATGACCAACGTTAGGCTCGCGATTACACGATTCCCTTGCTGATCACCAGGAACTCTGTTTAATTTTTAAACAACCCGAGTTCTTTGCTGTGAAATGGTTCGCTTATTACAAGGTATGTATACATATACATACATACATACATGTTACCGCGATATATGTATATGATTGATTGCTCGTCCAACCGATCGATCGCTGAAATTCGGGCTTTTTAAATTCTTAGTCTTTCCTTCAGACTTTCAGCTTTGCAGTCTGGGTTTCTATTTTTGCAACAGTATTAATCGCCCAGTTGGTCCTGGCTTTCATAAGATCTTGTACAGATTCGCACAATATGCCGTATACGGTGTACGAGGAATTTCTGAGGATTTGGGGGATTTTTTGTCAACAGGGACTATCAGGTAAATTAACTTTACCGTTCGATGATATATTTCATTAACGTTGTCTGTGTTAATTAATTAATATATTTATCGGATTTCATGTAACGCTCGATGATATTAATCGTGTCAATGATTCTTACTTTTACGCAATGTCGATAGCATTTGTGTGGCTCTGTTTCAGTAGCATTTTTATTAAATCCAATCGAGTTTGATGCGACTACGAGTTCAAAGTTCTGCTATCCAGATTGCGCATATTTCATTCGAATTCTTCGTTCGACTAACGAAACAGTTGTTCGATAAGTTTATTTAATCGTTGGTATGCAAGTTATCGAGAGGTGAAACGAAACGCCATACATACAATGTATACGTACATATGTACATATGTAGATACGTAACAGAGCATAAACGTTCGTTTCCAGAGTTTCCTCGAAATTCGTCACTCAGCCACGTAGCCTACTTCACCATGTTCATTACCGCCATAGTAACGTCCGCGGCTTATTCCGCGGCTCTGATATGATATGTTTCCTGACGGCTCGCATCACAACTTTGCCCTTCCGGACAGTCGAGGAGTTCGTCAACGATGGCTCCTATAGCATAATCGTGACAAAAGACTCTGCGGATTACGATATAATCGCATACGTCACAGATGTTGCGTATAATACATACATATACATACATATTGTACATAGAACGTAGCGCGTTTGTAATGGAAAAAGCGGAAGGGCCCCAACAACGAAACGAGAAACAAGCATGGCAATTGTTCAGATATACATATGTATGTATGTATACATACATACTTGAATAATAATTATCAAGCGTTATCGTTAATATTTTCTCATCGACGTGTCAGGTTAATACATAATCGGTAATTTCTTTAGAATTCGACCGTTCCTTTAACCTTTAATTAAAATTCGATGCTATTGTCAGAATTCGAAAGATCCCCTGTCGGCGAGTATGATGAAGTTAATGAAACCATTGGAGGCATTGCCAATCGATGTACAAACCGCATTTAAACACGTAGGTGTGCTCTTTGTTCGTAATGATAATTCGTTTGAGGAAGCGATACGGAACTCGTATACTTTTCAATTTGTACGTTTCTAGATCTGTAACGACGACAAGTTGGCATTTTACTCCGCTTATAATGTTGAAATGCAGAATAGATCGATAGTCCTGAACGTTCCGTGCAAAGTTGTTATCATCAATGATGGTCGCGTAAACAGTTTGTCCATGATTTTGTCCAAGGGTAATCAGTATACTTTACTTCGGTTCTGAATTATCAGTCAGTGTCTCGATGATAACTACATATTAATAACGCCGAGCAAATATACATATAAGTTTTATACAATATTTCCAATCGCGTTGCAGCTTGCAGAAATTACTGAGTACCGGCGCGGCGCGGTGCGGCGCGGCGCGGCGCGGCGTGCTGAACCGTTTCAAGAGCGAGGCATACTTCCAAAAGGAAACCAAGTTTAAGCCAGTTGGATTCGATAGTGTCGTGCCAGTACTGATGGTCTTCTTCACTGGTGCGATATTCGCATTTTTAATACTAGTTGTAGAGATATGGATTTCACGAAAACGTTTTACACGATTCATCGAAACCCGTTGATTGAATGATTAGAAATTACAGAATAACCTCTAACCTCTTATCGAACGCTGTAACATTTTTCTGCAATCTTACTTTTCACACAGCACTCACAGCCAGGTTCCGTTAAATCGTTAATTCCGCTTTTTCTGGTATCAAATCGTTAATTGGATATCGCATTAAATATTTCGCAAACTATTATAGCGACTATATCCTTGATATCCTTGGAAAATCGCCAACTAGTCTTGCACCGTGCAACGACGACGACGACGACGACGACGATGTTTCGTTGACGGGACTCGGTACGTTGAAAAATAATGTAGAAAAGTGGATCGGATTAATTAAGAGAGCAGGTTAGCTGCTGACAACGGGAACAAAGAGAACAAACTGTCGGTAATTGTGATTATGTTAATTTTTCGATGCAAATGCGAGCCACGTGTGTAGGTACATACATATACATATGTACATGTAATTTACGTTTATATCGGCGTTAATCTTTGCGGAATTTTTCTGTAGCCGGTACGATTGCGTGGACAGTGTGTAATGTGTGACATTATATTTCGTTCGTAATGAGGGTGCTATCCTCGTCTCTCTAGATCCATAGATTTGATAAATTCCAACGCCCATGTCACGGGGGTTTGTTGCTTTTCAGTTTAGTTGGTTAGCGGTTAGAAGCGGCTGGGCATCGTGCGAAAGCAAACGAATTTTGAAACGGACTTACTATCTACAGTATCTTTCGGTTGAGGGTGCACCGAAGCGCTCGAGCGATATATATGTATACGTATAATGATTACAGTGATTATATTTTAACAAGGTTCGATTTTCAATCGATTATCAATAAATGTTAACCCGTAGTATGCAATGGCACGGTTCGTTTTTTACGCTACCATCGCGTTCTTGCTGCTCTCGTTCGTTTCCGCGTACCCGGTGAACCTAAACGACATTTACAATTACATGTTTCTAATTATTGACGTGTACAATTATTATGGAACAAGCTGCATCACGATCGTGCATTCCGACAAATACACCAGTAAGTTCGCTCTTGGTAAAAGTCGTTTGCATGGAATTGTATTTTACCATTTTTACGAATAGTGATATGCACGAGTCACGTGTATGTATGTATGTATGTATGTATGTATGTATGTATGTATGTATGTATGATGTACATGTATAGCCACGGAAACATGTAAGATATTGAGCATGGAACGTAAGTTTCAAGTCGTTTCAAATATTATTCGAACCAAACTAACGTATAATATTATACGTTAAGATTTAAGATTGCTCTAGACCCTGGCTCCAAAAACTTGTTGTTCAGTTTCGAATGATATTAAAAACGATGCGAACGCTGCTCGTGAGCCTATGGTGGAAATTTATTTAAATTTGGTTTGTGGTTTAAAAAAATACGCGAAATGCCTCGTACGTAATTTTAAAAATATTTTCTTGTTGTTCGTAACAACAACAACAACAACAACAACAACAACAACAAACAACAACAAACTGTCGCTGAAACGACCATCTACGTATGTACATATGTATGTATCTAAGTAAGTAAGACGGAATTATCATTTCAGATACGAACGAAACAACTCTGATGCAAATATGGTTTCGTTCGTTTTCCCACAGAGGTATTCAAACCATGGTCGTAAGCTTTTCCAATCTGTCACGCGAAATCAAGGAACACCGTGATTCTATCGTGCGCCCGCTGTACGTTGTCCTTCTTACGACAAACGAGACCATGAACGAGTTCGTAATAGCCAGCGGACGTATCGACGTCTCTTTTCCCGTCTGGTTCGTCATGTTCCTACCATCATACCAGGATAATCCTATGAAGAGTTTCTGTCGAGATCCGATCGGGAATCCGTTTAATCTGGCGTTTAACACCGAGATGCTGGTGCTATGTTACGATTTGCCAATTTTAACAGAATGGTACTCGTTGAGCAAGAATCTTACCACAGTCTCGAATCTGGCCGTGTGGAAATCCGGCGGGAAATCCGGCGGGAAATCCGGCGGGAAATTCAGCTTAACCACAAACAGTAGCTTGTACACTAGGAGAAGCAACATGTACGGTCAAGTTATGCGTATAGCATATGTCAAGGTGAGTGTGGATTTTTGTTCGATAATTGCCTCTGATGTCGTGATAGGGGAATGATTTACGAGGCAGGAGAACCAAGGACGATGATGCAGATGTAATTTCGATTTTTCGACAAGCTCACTTATTTTCCTCCTCCTCCTCCTTCTCCTCCTCCGAATAATTACTTATTTTCCAACTTGCCTTATCAAGGAAATATATTTAATTTTCCAATAATCCGTACCGAATTCAAGGCATCTCCGTTCGTCGCGATGAAAGACGGAGCCCTCACGCACTTTTTCGGGGGTGTAATGCACGAGCTGAGCAAGTCGATGAACTTTACGGTGAAAGTGATGGGTACTTCGGCGGTGTACGGTAATTGGAACGAAGAGAAGAAAATGTGGACAGGCGTGATAGGCGAAGTAGTGTCGCGGGTGGTCGATTTCGGCATCGCAGAGTTCAGCATGAGCAATCATAGGCTGGACGTAGTCGACTTTACCTTACCATTGATTCTGTCGCGGAACAAAGTATACTTTCAAAAGCCCGATGCCTCTTCTGTCCAGTGGTCTGCCTATTTCAAGGTTCTCGTCTTAAATAGGACAACCAGTAGATTTCTTTAATACATATGTAACTACATCATATCTGTCCTCTCTTCAGACGTTCAAAATGGACATTTGGATGGTGATAATATTTACAATTGTGTCCGCACCGATTCTTCTAACGCTTATGAAGACGAGAGGCCGGATCGTAATGAAAATTATTACGGACAATTACATAAAGGTTTGGGGGATTTTTTGCCAGCAGGGAATGTCAGGTATCGTTCACATCGATATTCGCGAGAGTGTTAATATTCATACATATGTACATACATACGTATGTATAACGCGTTCATGTGTTCGTTCGGGTGTTGATTTTTCACCAGAGTTTCCGGACGAGTCTTCCTTGAGATTGGCTTTTCTCTCGATTTTTCTGTCAGCGTTAATTATCCTGTCTGCTTATTCCGCTTCGTTGATCAGCTTTTTGACAGTGTCCACGGTAGGTCTGCCTTTTTCTACTCTCGAGGAATTTTCGCGTCACGGCTCGTACAAGTTGATCGCGTTCAAAAACAGCGCAGACTACGACATGATAGTTGTAAGCACGAAACTACGATTCTATCGAATTCTATCTACCAAGGGTAGAGAGTGAAGTAAGTTAATTTTAGTCTGCCAACGACAGCGTATCGTTGCGTTTAAAGAGACTGTTGAAGAAGAAACAAGATCTACCTACGACGGTGTTTGATGCCTTCCAGCAGGTACCTTACCGAACAATTCATTTAAATGTTAACCGCAGACCGTTCATTCTTACCTTTTTCTAGGTTTGTACCGAAAAAGTGGGATTTTACGTAACGGAGGCGATACAAAACGCCATGGATCGAGTACCTTGCGAAGTTGTTTACATCGAAGCTGGCAAGCTTGACAGTTTGGCACTAGTATTGAATAAAGGCAGCTCTTACACAGGATTAGTAAATTACCAGTAAATAATACATTTTGATCATTTTGGTCTGGGTTAGGGTTCGCCTATTAAAATGGATCGTGATCTTGATCGATACTTTCAGGTTGCAACGATTCAAAGACAACGGAGTACTGAACAAGCTAAAAAAAACGTTTCTTGTAACAACCACGTCTCGCGAGGGTGGATATCCTGTAGTTACCTTGGGCGGCGTTGCGCCTATTCTATCTGTTCTGGCTGGCGGAGTGATTTTAGGCTGTTTTATATTGGCGTTCGAAAAGATATATTACAATTTTTCCGAGAGTAAATACGGAGAATCTTTGGAATTTCCTCGAATACTCCAAGAGACTGCACGAGCGAGACTTGGCCTAAAATCAAATAGAAAAAGAGAAACAAGTTTGAAATCTCGCGAGTTAAATACGTATATTTCGAATTAACGATTAGATATTGTTAATCTTTAATATGTCGATAGAGAGAAATATTTTTTACGCTTATCAAGAGTGGAGAACCAAGAGGGTTAAGTTAGATCAAGGTTCGTGCGAGGCGATGCATTTCCTCGAATAAAACCTATTAGAATAATCTAGATGCCGATTTGTGTGCCGATTAACAGCTAACGATACCTTTCAAGAGTATGTATTTAATATCCTCAATGTTCGCGATCATTCATACACTGTTCCTAACCCCAGAGAAACGGGCCGAAAAAATACATTAGGTGAAAAAGGTCTACTCGTATAAGTATTATACTTACCTCGTCTGTGATATTACGAACCCGAGGGATGCCTTGGGTAAAAACCGCGGATAGACTGATTTTTAGTAAATTATTTACAACTTTAACTAGTCAAGGAATGGCGAGTAATTCGTACTTTTCAACTCGTATGCATTTACATGCAACTAGCTGCTGCCTATCACACTAATTCAATGAATAGTTTCTCAACTGACCGCCATCCAAGAGAACAGGCCGCTAAAATCACCTCCGAATTGTGAGGTCGGTATGGCAGTCAGATTCGGCCGCGAAAGTCCATAAGGTGAAGTGAAAGGTCTATTCATATATCTCGTCTGTGGTCTGTGATTGTAACTGTTAAGCGAGAATTATCGTGTATCGGTATAGAAGTAATCTGGTTGAAAACGAATCAGACGCGTCTCTATAACTTCTGTCGGTAAAAATCGCATAGCATCGAGAAGTCGTCGAAGAGTTGAGAAGATTTGAATAAAAAAAATATCATTGAAATAAGAAAGAAGTAAGAGGGAAAAATGTGTCGGAATATTTTCGAAAACGCTATTGGGTCTCGGTGAAAAGGTGTTTAAACACATACATATTTTCTCAACTGTCGTCTCTCGATTAATACGTTCACGATCCATTATTTCGGTAAAGTATGCATTTATTGGGAAAGGAATACAGTTTGTTCGTTGGTAGCTGTGGCGACGGTGTCCGTGAATAAAGCGTTTTTGGGGCAAAGTGAGAAGCGAAAAATCCCCCGGCCTCGTGTTTGTTCTCCGGTGGTAGAGAAGCTCAGTTCTATAAATCAGTCAAGATCCGCGCGCGGTATCGCGGATCTGTTGCGCAAAAAAGAGGAAAACAATGAACCTCGTAGAAGAAGAGTAGCGTTACTTGATCCAGTTACTGGGCGGTGGTTCCTTGAATGATCAAGGGTTAGGATCGTCACGTACCTACACGGTGCGGCGATGATGCCTTTTGTGACGAGGGGCGGCAAGGACAGAAGAAAGAGAGGAAAAGAACGCTCGAGCGTGCTTTCATGGGCGCACTAAAATATTCATTGTCTGAAAATGGGCGTTTGTTAGAGTGTGTATAGTCGCTCTGCGCCTCGAGTGGCGAGAGGTCTGAAATACAGGGCGCGAAGCCTAGAGTAGGTGTGGAGGCGTTCTATTATATCTCAAGGCACGAATCCGCTCGAGACCGGGGGTTCGCAACCCCGCAGAAATTCAATATCGTGTTACGTGGACGCGTAATGAGCGTTATTCTGATCGGTCGACGATGCTCGGAAGTTGAAAGTCGACGTTCACTACTCGATTTTCCGATACGCGTTCTTCTCCTTGAAATCATTCGTCGAACGAACCCACGTTATCGAACCTAAGAGAACAAGATTTATCAAGTATGTACGTCGAATCAAACGATCGGATAACCACCGCGCGCACTCGGAATACGATGCAGACTTTGCGACGCGACGCGACGCGACGCAAGTACCGACGGATGGCATAATATCGATGCAGTCGAATTAATTACATTTCGCTGCACTCGCTGCACTAGTATTCGCATCTAGCTTCGTTTCTAACTACATAGTTTTCGACCGTGAAACAATCGATGCACCGATAGATAGGTTCGCAACGAATAATTAGTTTTGCGAATTCATCGGTGAAACGAGCGATACGAGGATGAGATGAAAGGATCGAACAAAAATTACGCGTTCTATCTGTTAGAAAAGGCTACGCCTGCACACTATGGCATTGAAAATACTTAAAGAAACGAAGGGTTTGGAAGAACGTCTGGTACGCGAACGAACCAAGTCCCGTCCGGAAATTCTTGAGAATTTTCAAATAGCGGGGGTGAAAATGTAAAGTTTTCGTGGCAGTCGAGTGACGCTCCACGCTCGGATATAATCTCGGCTCTTCCGGTGGAGCTTACAAACGCCCGAGGTGGTGCGAGGGTAAGGTTGACTAGAACCAGAAAAAGGGTTTGCTTCTGATACGATGCGGCGTCGGAGTTTCCTCGCGACGAACCACGTTGTTTACTCCGAAGAATATGGATTTTATGCATGAATAAAGAGAGGAGGGGAAGATCGGTTGGTTGATTGGTTGGTTGGTTGGTTGCACCCTTCGTCCCAACAATTTCCCTTACCCGTGTCTGTCTTCGGACAACTAATTCGGTGTCGTTGCGACACTGTCGATGCTGTCGCCTGCCACGCGGGCACCGATGACGCGACGCGACGCGACGCGGCACGGTACACCTGCATTTGCAAATTTGCATGCACAAGCACGACAATCCGCGTGTGTGTTGCTAGTGTCGTCGCATATTCGATGCAGACGCTATCGACGATGCTGCAACCGCAAAATTTTTTATTCCGTTCTCGTGTACACATCTTAAAGGCTGAACGCCCTTTAAAAATTCTGCTTCGGGCTACATAATTTCTTACGCGGGAGACCTTGGGGCTGAACATTCCATAAAATACGCGCGGGTCGTTGGTAAATTGCAGCTTGAAAGTTTAGGGATAGAGAGAAACGTATTATTCTCAAGTTAAAATGATATCCAAGTTACCTTCTCGATAAGAAAAATGATCAGCAACGAAAACGTAAACCGATTAATTATAATAAACGTAAATTAAACGCTGGTCGTTTATAAAATCCGAAATAATAGCGATATTCGACGGAATACGAGTAGAACGGATCGTTTTTTAAAATGAAAAACATACAGAGTTTTGCAAACATGTTTTCCTTTACCGACGTTCTCTGCTACTATTTCATGGCTCGCGCCTACATAAGTATGTATGTAGATGTACGCGCGCTCGTTTGGTATCATTGGACGTTTCGATGGGAGAATTTTTCGGAGGGTTATCGTCGACGCCACCTGTAAAATCAAACTGGGTTCCGCTAGGTTGGTGCCGATTCAATTGATTTCCGATTCAGACGAGACTTCTTTTCCTCGATAGACAGACCATGGACGTTGCAAGCGAGCGAGACACGAGCAGGCTAAGGGACCGAATGCGACCAAAGGACAAAGATGGAATCGCCAAGCGAGAGAAACAGAGGGCGGTAAAGGGGTTCGGGTTGAATCTACCCAGCGCAGTGTGTACCTCTATTCAGAATCATGCGGCATGGCTCGTAAATGGAATAATCAGTGACACGAGGGAACATGGAATACGCTGTTGTCCCGGTTCTCTCTCTCTCTCTCCTCTCCTCTCCTCTCCTCTCCTCTCCTCTCCTCTCCTATCCTCTCCTATCCTCTCCTATCCTCTCCACCGGAACCCGAGCTATTCCTCTCTCGGTTTCCCTAACCTTCCGTTTTCCTCGTTGCTTCTTCCTCTCTCCAGCAACGCCGTTGTGTCCCGCCATCGCCCTCTATGGAAACCATCCCCCTTGGTAGTTGCGGTGATGAATAATCCTCAGATCCACGGCGAGACGGCAAGTTGCGAGGTTAACAAGTGAAAACGTCAACGGCGAGCGCGACAAGAACCGGGCTTCGAGATACATACCATGACGGTGTTCCTCCTCGTTTTATTACGGTTCAACGGTGGCGAAATGCAATTCCGCGTTTAAATCTCGCCAAAGAATCTCACTCTACCGTGGCGTTACATTCTTCGAGACGCAACGGAAAGTCGAAACGAACGAACGAACGAACGAACGAACGAACGAACGAACGAACGAACGAACGAACGAACGAACGAACGAACCCTGGAATTGTTCGAAACGTTACGTAGCCGCAAACACCGGCTGCGTTTTGCTCGCGGTATTTCAGAATTCGTTATTCTTTCGCATCGGGATGTTCCCTGTTTTCGCTAGTAGACAATTTACCGCAAACAGTCTCGAAGAATTTTGGAAAGTCGTTCGTTTTTTCGTTATCTCGACGACACGAACGTGACGTTGTCGCGATAAGTCGAAAGTTTCAGTCAACGAAGAATTTTCGATGAATTTTCTCGTTAACGATTTGCGACGTATATGTATACGTCGAAATTTCAGCTCTGATCAGGGTGGCGAAGGCGAAGGCGAAAGAGTAGCAGAAGGAGGAAACACGGAGACGCGAAGAGTAACAGGCAAAACCGTAACGAAGGACGTGGAGAGAAGAAGATACGACCCCAAAGATGGGGTTGAACCGATGGTACTTTCAGACGTAAATTGCAAATGTTCCGGAGAACCGGATAATCGGATAATCAGCCAGACTGTTCTGTCTCCGTTTGCCGTTTCCAATATCTGCTGTCTCCGAGACATCGACCTATGGATCAACGACGACGAGTTATCGACGAAATAAAACTACTCGCTACTCTACGCGTGCATTTGAAGCGGTTTATTGTTTCGATAGAAAAGGATACACTTTTCGCTGAATGTTCTTTCGCTTCATTTTCCATAAAACATTATTATCCGTCTAGACCAGCGATCGCAGTTGCTCGTTCGACGACAAACATATTTTCGTTTGTTAACGTTTGCTTTTAAGTTTTCGATCGTCCACGTAGTTTACGATTCGCGATCGAAACGTTCGGTTACGATTAAAAATTATTAACCGGAGGAGGACGTTTGATCGTTTTTTTCTTTCTTTTCTTTTGTTTTGTCGAAAACAGTACACGTAGCGAACGAGCGCGTCTCCATAGTTGGCGATGTTCGATAGATCGTAAGCCGCAGACCGCATGCCACAACCCGAGCACCAAAACTTCATACTAACTGCACTCGCGACAAGTCAGTCGATCGGTTACTTGTGTCTGTACTTAAATTCAATCGATTTTCGTCCATCGACTTTCATTCCATACGAAATTTGCGAAACTTGCTCGATATTCGAATATTCCGTACCGTTCCTAACGAATACGATATTTTTCAATGTTCCTTGATCGAAACAAAATAAGCTATAAAAATCGACGAGTTCGCTGAGAAGTACTTAAAATTTATTGAGACAAACTTGTCGCGTATAAATTACACGGTGCGGCGCGGCGCGGCGCGGCGCGGCGCGACGCGATGACAACGCGTCGTGTACCTACGTATCGTACATGTATGTATATGTATATCTCGATATATATGCAAACGCGACGCGACAAGACGAAATCGAATGGAGCTGATAACTGGTAGCTATTAGCGATAACAAACTTGGCGTCGGACGAATCGTTTTCCAACGCGAAACTGTCCGTAACTGCCAACTGCACAGTTCCAGGCAAACTTCTGTCCGTCCGTTACCGCTCTGCAAACTTCTTCTCGCGTGAGCGGTTCACTGTTCTACGCGGTCCTTCTTTGTCTACTTTTCATCAAAGAACCACGGGAACGAACGAACGAACGAACGAACGAACGAACGAAAACCGTTCCAAGAAACGATACAGGCGGTATCGCTGTTACCAGTACATTCCAAGATTCCATCTGTAAAAGTTTCCTCTGGGAGAAAGGTGTCGCTGCGCCCAGCCGTTTCAACAACTTTTCAGCCTCCTTTTTCGAAGCAGTCAATTTTTCTCGGTGAAATTTAAAACAATATTTCCACAGCACCGAACGTCGACGAATAAACGAACAATGCGAATAAATTCTGTTCCTCGCGTTCTCAAAACTCTTTCTGGAGTAAAATTGTCTATCAGTGTTCTTTTTAATCGAGTCTATGTACAAAGTCCTGCTATCCGAACCGACTTTCGATGTAGCGTCGAGTCAAAGAACGGATCGAAAAGAAGCAAAAGAGAAAAAGACGAGGCTTCCGAGCATCTTTATGAAAAATGATGATTCAGCGCGGTCTGTTCCGTCAGCGAATCGTGTTTGGTGTCTCGATAACGTTGGATTTGCACGAGTTACTCGCGCGCGTTTATCGTGACAGCTTTTAAACGCGTCGGACAGTGAAACTGACTGGTAAGCATTGGCTGGATGAAAGAACGCTAGTAGCCGCGGCCTGATAATTAATTGCCGGTTCTAGCGATCGCATTTACGTCGCTACATAGCTGAGAGCGTCATTAGTGGTAGGCAGCAGTCGGAGAATTCCTGTTTGTCAACCGGACATCTTGATGCTGCGTGGCGTAACGTTTCGATATTATTCGTGAAATACAAGCTCGCGGCCTCGTCAACCTGTGAAAGGACATTTTCCATCGTTCGCGTTTTTTAGCTTGTGTGTTCACCGCCATTCGTTCATGTTTTCAATATCTTTGTCCCCCGTTCTTTCTCCGTTCCTTCTTTGTCTCTACGGCTCTCCCTGTTACCCATTCGCGTACGCGAGCCTCTCTCATCGTCTCTCTTTCGGTTACGACCGACCAACGCTACCACCCTTTTGAATTTCTTCTCTGCGCTTTGCTGTCTCGACCGTGCGACTTTGCTTTTCCTTCTTTCTTTATTTTTTTCTCCCTTTCATTCGCGGTCTTCTTCAGACAATGAAAAGCCCTCGTTCAGAGGTAACCGGGAAACGATAGGAAATTCCACGACGATAATTGTTGGAGATTTCGCTTTTATCGCGGCCAGAAGTAGATCTGGATCTGCGGTTGAATTTTAATCTCGGACTCTTTGCTACGATTCCACCCACCCACTTTCCATCCGGACCGAGATGCGACTGAAAGAATTTGCCCTTGCTTTCTCATCTTTGTCCACTGTTATGCTCCGATTGATCAACTTTGTTCTTTACTCGATCCAACGCATACGTTTACATACATTTTTCTGTCTTCTCGTTAATTTTCCGAATTTTTCAGAACGCAGTCTATGCTCGACGATAATTATTCTGAATGATCAATTTCAACAAAATATAATACTCTACTTGTCTACGCATACCATTTACTTTTTCTACGCGTAAATCGTTGAGAATGATCTTTAACGAGCAACCGCGAATAAGATCAAAATCTTTGCTACTTTCTCGTTGCAAGTTATTCGAGATCATAGATACATATTCCGGAAATGCAGTTAGAGTATCGTTGCGAGTCTCGTTCGAATGTTGCAACACCGATACGTTCACGCACGCGTGTACGTATTTAGAACACGATGGTGTTGTAAGAGCAAAGCTTTGTGCACTACAAGGTATTAAAAGTTCTCTGTCTGCTTTACATTCTCGTGCGTTCTCCGGCGCCAAGAGCGCTTTTAATGTTTCGAGTTGTATTAATCGCAACCATTTCGTACTTTCGTGCACGGGGTGCAAAAGCAGCGGTGAAATTTCGGCCGCATCTCGCGGTCAATATTCGTTTACGATTCATAACGAACGCGACGCGACGCGACGCGACGCGACGCGACACGATGCATCGTTTTTCGTGTAAAGTTTAAGAATGTTGGGTATCGTTACGGTTCTATGCGTCTTCGATTCGGAACAGAGCCATTAAAGGCATCGTTTAACGCGTGAACATTGGGGCTTCGAGAGCAACTGCAACGCGCTTTGTGTGTCAGCCGTGTATACCCACATTTGAAAAGTTTTTCAAATGTCGTATATGCTCGCCTACCGCTCGAATACTAAATGAGCCGGGCCATCGAGTCTCACAATATGGCCTCCATAGCCCAGTAATTATTAAGAAAAGTTTCACCCCTAGGTAGGTGCGAGGGTCGGTTGGATGAGATGCAGGGCTGTAAAGGGGTCGCTGGTGTGTCAGAGAGTGCACAAGGGTGAAATTTCGCGCGTGCTCCCTTTCATATACCTTTACGCTTGCTAGATGCTGAAGGTCGACCGAAATTAACTTTCGTTAGATGGCTGTACTCGCGAAATTTCCCCTAACCCAGACTAGCCAAACAACTCCCTCGGCTATACCTACCGTATCGTATTTTCCGATCGAAAGCAACACGAAAGGAATACCCATACCTTTAATCCGCGACGTAGGTACTTTTAATATCGTGGTTGCGCGTTACATTACTTTTTCTTTATTAATTTTGTTTGTATAGATTTACAGATAGTTGCATCTACGTTATCAATGGTATTCGGTATTCGATTGCATTTGTCTGTTGGAAAGCGCGCAAAGCCCGACTATCCGACTGATAATTATTATCGGTCAATTCGTCTTTCGTTTCAACCCATTGACATTCTTCTGTGGCGCGAGCGAGTTCTAGTCTGGACAAAATAGATCTGTACGTAGCCGAAGAGCAAACGAAATGCGAAATGCGAAATGCGAGTTTGATAAAGAGAGGAGGAAACTGTTGGTAGAGGGTGGGAGCAGTACAGGGGCAGAATTTCGCGCGTGCTCTGCTTCATCCCCCTCGATTGCCGCCACCGCCGACGCTGCCGCCGCCGCCGCCGCCGCCGCCGCCGACGCCGACGCCGACGCCGACGCCGCCGCCGCTGCTGCTGCTGCTGCTGCTGCTGCTGCTGCTGCTGCTGCTGCTGGTGCCGCTGCCGCCGCCGCCGCTGCTGCTGCTGCTGCTGCTGCTGCTGCTGCTGCTGCTGCTGCTACTGCTGCTGGATGCTGAGGGTAGCTGGACCGCGCGCGCGAGGTGTCAGTTCTACGCGCGACCTCTCCCCTAAAGGTGTCAACCTACTCGCGACCTGCTCCAAGGTGTTTGCAAAACTCTCGTGCAACCAACGAGTCTGTCCTCGCGAGTTTCTTTCTTCCATTTTCCTATCTTCTCTGTTCGTTGTTACGACCATTCGACAAGGACCGACCAGTGAACACTCTCTCGACTTATCTTCCGCGAAAGGAAGAACCAGAAGTTCAACCGTTCATCCGGCACGTGACACGGCTTCAACATCGCTATCATGTTCGTCGGAATATCCAGAAGCAGCAATGTACGTGAACACGTTTCTATTGCGAGCACGCGTATTATTTAACCGTTCCGTTGATTCCAAAAACGTTTTCTTAGTTTTGATTTTCCATCGATACGACCGAACGGGTTTACGAACTTTCCTATTTTTTTCAACGACCAACGCGACAGACCGAGGAACGCGTATCCTCGATAAAACGACCCCGGCTCGTGGAGTTTCGTGCATGAAGCGCGCGGTATCAACGATACGTAAACTATAGCGATAACCTAACCACGGTGTACCTACGTGTACGCGGGTACCGTTTATGTTCGTTCGTTTAACGATACTCTGTATCGAATTTTCTCGATAATGTATATGTATGTATTCGATGCCGATCGACCAGTTGGACAGCAACGATTCTACTTCTGCGAACCTATTTCGCCGTTCAATGGCCGAATATTCAAAGTTTTGTCGTTCGTTTCCGCATCGACGATCCGCATCGTTGTTTCGTTCTTGTTCCATTTTCTTTCAACGAAATAGTAGAATTGCTGAAAAGAACAAAGGACCCTCGTAGGCAGGCACGAAAGGTGTATATCATCCAAGTTAGTTCCTCGGGTGGCGATAATTCATCAGACTCGAGTAACTCGCCGGCATTCGGATGATTAATTAACTTTAGAGTCAGTAGCTCCGCGCCTCCACCCGGCCCGTTTTTTTCTTTGCCGGCCGAGATCGTTTTTCTGGCAATTTCTATTGCTTCTATGAACTTTTCGTCGCGTCGTGGACAGGCTACGGTATCACCGTAGCTTTCCAACTCGATCAAGTACTACCTTTTCCTCACTTGCCAAGTATTTACTCGTGAAAAAGTTCGTCTCGGCCATACATTTCACACGCGTAGACAAGAGTCACCTACCGAACTTTTCTTACACTGGACAAGCAACAAGTTCGTTTCAAAGATTTAAATTTATGCTACCCTCGATTCTCTCTATTTTTAAACGTAATAATATACGATTAGAAAAGAAAAATGAAATTGTCGATAAGTGCGCGTGGCAGAAAGATGTTTTACATTTTTCGACCAGTTTTACTATAAGTGCATATGTAAGTGTCTGAAGAGATATTCGATGGTGGTGGTCGTTGGGCCGTAAAATTCGCGATTCGATTAACGATAAAATATTGTCTGAGAAAGTGGTAGACGCGAAGCGAACAAATGCTCAGTGTACTTTGATATAATGAAGCCCGAAAGGAGCTTCCGCGAAGGTTACTTAAATTACTTTCCCCCAACAAGCGCTTCCTTTTCGAGATAATTCCGCGTCGCGTTTCACGGACAGTCGTCCGCTAAGTGTCCTTAATGGAAAATGCGTAAATCCTGAAACGGCGCGCAGTACGCCTAATCCTATTCCGGATGATCCTCGTAGACAAGCGCGGGCAATTTTCATTTAATCGGGGCGACGAGCCGAGCCGAGCCGAGCCGAGCCGAGCCAAGCCAGCCACGCCGCGTCGCGTCGCGTCGGGTCGCGTCGCGACGGTTCCTCGTCGCTAAATGCAGTTAAGGGGAAAGGAACGACGAAGGAAGGCAACGGGTGGGGTTGGTCGCGCGAGAAAAGAATTTCTTCTCTCTCACCCTTCGACTTGAAAGAAGCGTCGCGCGAAGGGAAGCTGGTTCCCGTGATCGTCTTCTTTTCGCTTATAAATCTTTTCTCGATCCCTCTATCTATTGATATTTCTATCGATATTCCGTGATTTTCCCATACCATTTTTGAGAACGTAACTTGGCCGTTGTTTTAACGATCGTTTTCCACACCTAGCGTTTCACACGCTACGCAAACTTCCATTCTGGGCTGAATATTTTAGCGCGACAAAGATTGAATTTATTCCATGTCTATTAACGCATTATTGTCTGTTGTCGGCGCGGCGTTGCCTCTCTTTCTTTATCCTTTCTGACCAAAATTTGATAGGTAGGCTCGCGTGAACCGAGACATCACCCTCGCTTTCCTTTTAGAAACTCCTCGAGTAGACTGTGCAAGGGTATTTATTGTTAGTACATATAGCCCGACTGGAGTAAATTGTCTTCTGCTGGTTGGTATAAGTTGGCTACTTTTTAATTAAAAAATTAAACATTTAATACGTTTGTTGGACAAGAAAAATTATCTTGTCCATCGAAACAATGATATTTATTCGTAATTAAAATGTTCCTGAAAACACGATTTCCGCGCTTTCTGTGTCTCCGTGAAGCATTTATACGTGCCTAGGGATAAATTAATTAATTGTATGTTCATATGCTGTCTGCAGCATCAAACGAAAGGAGACGAAGCTACGGTGATTTTTAGTAATTTCGATTCTGTCACCCGATGCTGTTTGGCGAGAAACGTTGTTTCGTAAAAAAAAAAGAAATAACTAAATACGGGGACGATCGATGTTACATTCAAGGGGTAAAAGTCTCTTAAAATGTCGTGCGTCGAGCGAATCGTTGGTAAAATGTAGGTCGAGCGAAATTAGACGTCGCTTCTTATTACTCGCGTCGAACGAACTCGGCGTGTACTTACGCGGAGAGGTTTGTACATGCACGGAACGTTATTAATTCCCCGATACGTAGGCAAAACAAAAAAAGAGAAAAATAAGGCAGAACGGGCACGGCATTTTCCAACTTTGATTTCAATCCTGAAATAGACGCGGAAATTATTATTCGATGCTCGATACGCAACGAGCTATTCGATCGTACCATTTTCTTTCTATACATTACCGATTGATTTCTGGTGAAGATTCGGTGTGTCACGAACCCGGTACAAACGCTGTTTCGCTAAAAAATTATTTATCGCGTATCGATATATGTACATACATACATATACTTTCATGATGTATGTATTGTAAAAGATGTACGATTTAAGTTGTATATCGACGTAAGTAAAGCAGTCCCTGATTCTTTCCTCTATCGGTGAGCGTGATTTAAAGGGAGTTATCTAAGGTACGATTTGAAAGGATATCAATCGATTGGCGAGCAACGGTGCGATGCGGAGCGGTCGCGTCGGTTTATTCTTGGTAGCCTGTCTTCTTAATCCCTCTATCTGTGTCGCGAACTTTTATTTCACCGGTCAAGCATGGGCAAGTTACGCGAAGCCGGACCAAGTCGTGAAATAAACGTAGAAAGGAAAAGAGCGAGTGTATTTGGGCGCAGTAAATCGGCGCTAGCTCGAAACTCTCGACGCCGTTTTGTTAACTCGGCGAAACTATTTCTACCGACGCGCGTTACCGTCCTCGGACTCGAGGGTTGAAAAATGGCCACCATTCGTCGGGTGGGGGTTGGGAGGTCGATGACGGAGGCTGATGGCGGTTCGAGGAGTTAAAGGACATTACATAGTACGTTCAACAAAAGTTTCTCGTGCGGCGTGCAGAGTGGACACTGCTCAATTCCTGCTTGGTCCTTGAAATTTACATCCGTCTCGTAGGAATATACATATACAGCTATTTTCCTTTTCCTCCTTCCATTCTGCCCCTCCCACGATCCCGTATTTTCCAGCCTTGGAGAATAGCAGGTGAGTTTACTCGGGCCAACTTATGCCATTTGCCATTGCTCTCTCTCTCTCCCTCCCTCCCTCCCTCCCTCCCTTAGTACCGAGTACACTCGTTCTTTAGTCTGGAAAGTTGCTGGCCCATCTCGAAAGTAAGCTTGCAAAACAACTGCCGGTGTTTCCTGTGCATACGTGCGTAATCGCCTGCTGGTATATTTTCTTTATTTTTAGCTGCGTTCCGAGCGTAGCGTCGATGGTAAATATCGACGATTATTCTTCGTTTCTTCCGTTTTCCGCGTTTCGTCGAGCTCGTTATCCACGAGGCGTATTTGATTGAAAAAAAACCGCGTTCTTCGATCGCGTAGGACGAAACGTCTCAACTGATCGCAAAGTAACCCCTTCGTGCGGCGAGCGATGTACTTTCGTTTCTGAAAAATGTTTGATTCGTTGAAATGTATTGGTTGCGAGGATACGCGAGGATACGCGAGGATACGCGAGGATACGCGAGGATACGCGAGGATACGCGAGGATACGCGAGGATACGCGAGGATACGCGAGGATACACTCAGCGGGATAATCGCAGCAAAACACGAGCTAGCATTCCTTGATGTTTTCGGTTCAAGCTTCGTTTTACATGGAATTAACAGAGTTATTCGAGGAGACATGATAAAAAGTTTGTTGCTGCATCGCCGACTACAGTCTTATAATTCGAGTTATCGTCGAAAGTCCAGTGAAACCGAATAACGGAGATAGCGGCTCATGGTTTGCTAGTTAAGAGATTGATGGAAAGAACGATTGATCCATCGTTTCCGTACTTAATGTTTCCAATATTCGTAACAATATTGCGTAATCGTACTACTTGTATAAAATTAGGTTTATCGAGAAAGTAGGCGCGAATGATCGAAACGTGTACATACATATGTACGTGGTTAACTCGTGGCATCGTCGTTTTCGAATCGATCGTACCTCGCATCGTTTATACGAAACTCAGTTATTTTTTTCTACATGTTGCATGGTTGGAGGTAAGTTTAAAAGTTTCTGTATTTTTGTTCGATCTCGGATACCTCCAGGCATAAACATTCCTCGGGGATGGTCGAATAGAATTCTGGCGAGAAATTGGCTCGTCGATGAATAATCGAATGTTGCTTCTTTATAAATGTTTAATTTCTATCATTAGGGTGTTTCTTTGACCGTATGTTTATGATATTTGATCTGGAATGCGATATGTATCGTGGTCCGTTGAAATCGATATTGGGGTTGAGAGAACGATATATCGAAAAACCATGAGAACGTGGGAAGTTTCCATCATCGGGCCGTAAAAGGTGGGCACAATACGGTCGCGATTAAACTGCTATAGGGTTTGGGGAGGAGAGCAGGTTAGCGTAACGTAGGAGCGCAGGCAGCGTCTGGTTGCACGACGCGACGTCCTTAGAGCGACGACATACCGTGCCGGTAATATAGCATACCGTGGCATAATGCAGCATAATAAACCCGGAATAGACGGCGGGCGTTGTACGGTCTGGCCCCTGGAGTACGCACGAC